CCCACGGGCCCAGCGCAGGCCGCCTGCGGCCCCCGCTCCATCCCTCTGGGAAACGAGGGGGGTCGGTTCAGAGCGCGCTCTGTGCGCGTTTTCTGCTCAGAGCGACCTGCGCCGAGCTTACTTTTAAGGTTTACAGCCTGCACAGAGTAAAGAAACCCCTTTTTAATGACTGTTTTTCAAAGCTTTGCCTGTAGTAGACCGCACAAACTTCAGAAAATTTAAGAAAAACTAATTAATTCTTTCAAAGTTTTACTCTTTCAAAACTTTATTCTTAGAAAAGTAAATATATTACAGCAACTCTATGCCAAAAAAAAAAAAAAAAGCCCCCCACTATTCACGTTGGTTTATCTCCCTTTTAATGTCCTATTATTTTAGTCTTACTCTGAAAAATGGGACTCTCAAAATTAAGAAATTTTTATAAATTGCCAATTTCTTAACTCTCAAGGGCCTCACAGGATAAATGGTAACTTGGACCAGCAACCTATAGGAAATCCAGATCCAAAAGCAATCTGTTTCTTTAGAATAGGAGATGATGGTTCTGGACTCTGTTCCTGGCTGTCATCACTGACTTGGCTGTGTGATTGTGTGAAAACATGAAATAACACTTTCTCTGTAAAAATATTAATAGAGCTGAATAAGAACATCAGGCATTAATACTTTACAACCGACTTTAAAAGTCTAGTACTAAAAGTAATACACAAAATTAGTGTTAAAATCTTCCTGTATCACCATTCTTTCAGTTCTTCCTCTTCTCCCCCCCACCCCTTCTCCAAAACGGTCCGTGCTTTCAGTTTTGACAAAGTCCTCTGTTTTGCACCGAATATGCTATCAGTTTCAGCTCAATCAGCATAGATATTGACAGTTTCTGTGAGAGGTACATGAAGTCAACAAAAGGGGAATGAGAGCCACATGCTGGAAAGTTTAGATTCTTCAAGAATCTATAAAAAAATGTTATCAAATATTGGATGATGGAGAGAATTAAGTGAGAAAACATGTTTGTTTGATACCAAAATAAACCCCCAGGTTTTGTGACATAGCTGTGCTAGGGAACTGTTTACCCAGCCAGTCTTCACTGCAGCAAAAGAAGACTGTTGAGTGACTTTATGCCTCTTGGCAGCTGGGAGGGGAAATAAGAAAACTTGCTGCTTTTATTTATTTCCATTTTCAGTGGTTTTTTGTTGTTTTGTTTTTTTGTTTTTTTTTACTGAAAAGTTTTCCTCAGGCTAATTGCCTACATCTGCTATGGATCCAGACAAGAACATACTGCTTAAATAGAACGTGTAACTGAAAACAATCCAGGAAGAAAATTTTGGAGAGAGAACAGATTCTTATGGTTTACTGTTTCAAATAGGCATATGAAATACAGATGTGTAAATGTATTCATCAATATGTGCAATAAATGGTACTTTTGTAGGAGGACTATTAAAACCCCACGACAACGTGGTAATAAAGAATTTAAAATAAAAATGAAAATTACATAATAAGCACAAACAAACATACATTCAGGAACGAAGTATTTTTATTTTAAATGTGTTAGGAATGTTGTCCCTTTCTACTTCAGAATTTCTCCAGCTGTTAGGATTTAACATTTATATCATTCCATATCAGCACTGTTCTTGAAGAGATATTCTGCCTATAAATGGAAGAGTTTCAAGTTACACTTATTTTCAAGTCTCCAATTTTAGAAGTTACACAAAATAACAAAGTTATAGTGGATAACATTGCTTTAAACAAAATCACTCAGAAGGTATGAAATGGCTCTAAAATGTCATTTCTGGCAGATCTGTCAGAGGAACCTCTTCTGCTCAAATACCAATCACCTCATTCTCTCTCTTGGTAACAGCCACCCCCTCTGTTGTGGGCAAGAGAAGGAAGTGAGCTATTAAATGACACTATTTTATCACTCCATGGAAAGTCCTAGGGCGTACCACAGGGCCTGATTTCTGGACCCAGAAGAGTAAATAATAAAGATTTTTAAAAGTTATGTGGTTAGTAGGGAAGATCTCGTGCTCCTACAGCTACAAGTAGTTGTTACTCATCAGTAAGCAAAAAGGTTGAACAAATGAAACATTCCTTAGTGCTTAAAGTGGCATGCAACACCGATACTTTCATTTTAAGCTTTTGCTTGGTTAATAATTTTTTTTTTTTTCATTAAAACAGTTATATCTTCTTAATAACTGTCTTCAGATGTGCAGGAAGAACAGCAGTGCAGCAATAACTTTGTAGCATCTGAATCCTTGCACTGCTGACCCTGCTTTCAGTCAGAAGTTCAACCAGATAACTCCTTGAAGTCCTTTGCAACTGGATTAATTCTATTCATGGTTTACAGGATTTACTCATTAATTTAGACGAGTGCTGTGAAGGGAATTACCAAAGAGTTTTCATTCATCATTACAATAACGTGCTCTGTCATGCCTAGAGGGGTGTAAGCAGGATGGAGAGTGATGTCCCTTTTTCTGCAGGCCTCTGCGTCACAGCAGAAGTGGCAGGGTACTTAAGATGAGCAGAGTGTGCACACCAAAGAGAAACAGATTCTGGGAGTGATTTTTGTCCTGTTACTGTTTAGCAAAGCTGCATTATGCCCCCACTTCATGTACGGTATCAACTGATCTCATAAAAGGCAGTTGCTGGGGTTTAAATTTTCACAATAATTACTGCTCACCAGAATGGCAGATACTTACCGTTACTTCATTGTTATCATGACAGTGGGTAAAAAGAATTTAAGTCCTTATGTTAACAGAGATTCTTTGCGTCTGCATGAATATTCTACATTAATATCTTCTCTCAGGGAAGAGAAGACTTAGGGGGAATCTAATTAATGTGTATAAATAGATGAGGGCTGGGTGTCAAGAAGAAAGGGGCAACCTGTTTTCACTTGTACCCTGTGAAAGGACGAGGGGCAATGGTCACAAGCTGGAGCACAGGAAGTTCCACCTCAACATGAGGAAGAACTTCTTTACTGTAAGGGTTCCAGAGCCCTGGAACAGGCTCCCCAGGGAGGTTGTGGAGTCTCCTACCTTGGAAACTTTTAAGACCCATCTGGATGTGTTCCTGTGTGACCTGCCCTGGACTAGATGGTCCTGCTCTGGCAGGGGGGTTAGACTCGATGATCTCTGGAGTTCCCTTCCAACCCCTAACATTCTGTGATTCTGTGATATTCAAACATACTTAAGAAAAAGTAATCACCTTACCAGAAAATCTACTGGATCATCTGGCCTGATCCTACAGCATTCATTTATTCCTTGTATAAGTGTTGGCATGACATTCTTCATTAAATAATTCCGTAGTGGAGCGGACTGGGCCTCCAATAACTCTTGTTCTTGTCTTTTCACTTCCTCCAGATGTTTATTCTACAAATAATGAACAAAATCATAAAGAGTAAAGTTTACAACATGTACCAAATAGCACTTGACTAAATAATAACAGTGGCCTAGAGAAAATTAAAAAAAAAAAAAAAAAAGTGTTATATGCTGTGAACAGAATTTTGAAACTTGCAACTTGGCAGGAAAAAAATATTAATTGCTTATTACATTTAGAGCGCATGGCACACTGAGAACAGGGAATTGAATATGATGAAAACTGAGATAATCTCATTAATAAAACTATTTTATTTTTCTCTCTTTAACACCTAAAAGGACGTTTATTTTGAAGCCTTCCAGTGGTCCCGTTTCCTTAAGGTAATATGGGGCAAAATGGTTGGAATACACTGTCTCACATCAAAAATTAGTACTGTTGCAAATGGGGAGGGTTTCTTGAGTGTTCATTGACTGGAGGGGAAGGGGAATATTTTTACTCAGAAAAGCACCCTGACTCTCTAAAAAACTGTAAATTATGTTGAGTTTGTTTGTTTGCTTTTTGTTTGGCTTCTTTGCTTTGTTTTTCACAGAATCACAGAATGTTAGGGCTTGGAAGGGACCTCCAGAGATTGAGTCCAACCCCCCTGCCAGAGCAGGACCAACTAGTCTAGGGGACTAGATCATTTCTATCCGTTTTTGTGAAGGATAAGAGTTAAGTCAACTAAACCCACATCTGCTTACACCAGCTAAACATTCTTGAATTCAGGTTAACTCAAATACAATGATTATATTCAAAAATTAGGGGGTGGGGGAGGAAATAAAACCTCTGTGACTTTATCTTTCTTCCATTTAAGAGCACTTAATAGCATGGAGATTTGCAGTAATTTCAGCCAGAAGACTACACAAAAACATTTTTATTATTGTCCTCTCTTCTCTCACTGTATTTATCAGTAGCCTGAGTCATATACAGATAGAGCAAACAGATGATACTCTGAAGGCCACTTTTATGTACTCGAGGCATAACACAAAAAAAAAACCCCAAGGTTCAGATAAAACTGATATACCAATATCTGGGAAAGATATTTCTTTATTCACTCAACCCAGGAGTGCTACTGAATAAATCCTGCAAATGGTCCTTGGTCACTACTCAGAGACAGCAGCCTATCTACAGTCTCCAGGGCAAATGAATTGTTGCTTAGATTTCCTGAGCATCTTCCTATTTAAAAGAATAAACTTAAGCACACATTTTACTTAAACACCTACTTTACCTATGAATAATGCAGTTTGCACTCTTGAAAGTTAGATAGCTTTGGATTGAATATACCTAAAAATGTGTCAAGTACCCTTACTAATCTTTTAGACAAGTTTACAGAGAGTACAAAATACTGTTTAATGTTGAATGAAGCTGTAAATAGGCAGAGATAACAAAGAAAACTTAATATAAACCAACAGCACAGCAATGTAAACGCTTCTTTAAAAGTGAGTAATTTCAGGGTATTATTTCCCCACAGATGTGTATGGGCAGTCAAACATAACAAAAGGATTTCTCTGGGGATTGATCAGTTTGTTTTAAACAGCTCTAGAAGACAACAGAAGAGCTGCCTTCTGGTGGAACAATTTGACATTGGGTGTGAAGAATAACATTTATTTTGCACATGCATTTCAGGTTATTTACCTAAAATATCTTAGGTGTGGCCACGTAGATAAGGAAAAAACATCATGTTCAAATCCTGTGAGGTCAGGTAGCCTAGATATTGAGTAGTTATGGAAGTATTAGCAAACAAAGAGCTTCCTTCAGACTCCATCTGATAGTTCTCACTGAACTGAGGACTCAGCTCTCAAAGGCGTTTCTCTTGCAGGCTCAGAAACCTTTCTGTGACGCAGACTAAATATTGATCAGAGTTGAGTTAAAAAATCTTGTTTGAAAGGTATAATAATTAAGATTTGTTCAGCTGCTTAGAAGTGAAGTCAGTGAAATGCAAGTCCTAGAAGACTGGTTAAGGAAAAACACCATTGATTTTAGTAGGTATTTATAAATGGTGAAACAAAAGCACAGTAGCAAGAGGATCATAGAAATTATTTTAAAGCCATACTGATACCAATAAGCAAAAAAAACCCAGTATGTCTAATCAAGAAGAGACAATATTCTTTAGGCTGGGTCTCAAAAGGCACTGTGAAGACAACCTAACCCAGATCTAAAGTACGATAAGAGGAACTATAGTACTTATTCTACACTTTCCAAACATATTTGCATAACAGATTGCCAGAAGCCATCTAAAACACATAATAATGGTTTCCCCAAAATAGCTATTAACGTACCCATTCTTCCCAATCTGCCATTCTTGCAGCCCTTTCCTCAGCTTCTATTCGCTCCTGTTCAGCTTTTTCTTGAGCTTCTTTCGCCAGGCATTCCTCAGCTGCCTTGAGTTCCAGATTCTCTTTTTCTTCATCTGTCAAACCATAATTCCGAGGTTCCCCAATTTCCTTGATGATCTCTTGTAAAATAAATCTGTTCTCAGGATCTTCAAATTTGGCTACATCTTTTAAAAAATACAAGAGATCATTTTTCAAGGCTTTTGTCAATTTGATATAAGGAAATTAACTAAAATAGAAAACTTGTAAAGCTAACCATTTATATGTAAAATAGAAACTAACAATGTATGTAACATAACATAAAGCTAATAAGTTAGTTAAAGAAAAGCAGATGCTTCTTTGATCTGCCATCCAAGACAGCTAACAAACCCTTATCAAAGCTCACAGGCATCCTGCACCTCTCAGCAAAACAGGGAGAAAAGAAGCATAGGGATAGCAGGACCAGATACCTTGAACACATGGAAGGAATTGTTTTCTAATGATAACAAAGCTTATACACACACAATGGAAGAACATTCCAGCTTTATCTGAAGAAAGCAAAGACAGGATGATATCTGTCACAAAGGTATTGACCAGGACTGATCCAAAGCTATAAACTTGCCAAATCATCACATTCCAGACAAGAGGTGAAAAGTACATCGTGAGGAAGACATACGGCCTTCCTCCAAGGGACCACCAACCGCTTTCAAAGACCTCGGCCCACAATTACCAGGAGGAACTGCGCAAGCGTGAAGGCCTGATAAACTAATTAACATGTGAAGCGGGGATAGGCGGGGTTAGATAATTAATATGTATAGGCATCACATGAATATGTATTGTTTCATTGCATAAATGTAGGAGGACTTGCCTCCTCGGGCATGCATGCTTGTGGTGGAGCGATCCCCCGTGAATCTGAAAACATACTTACTTTATAACTTTCAGATTACAGAGTCTATTTCCGTACGTCAAATTATCCGTTGTCATTCCTAAATAACTGCAAGACCCAAAAATACATGGTGTTCATGTTTGAAACTTGAAGTATGAGATGTTGTTTTCAGTTGCTTAAAAATGTCAATCTTTTGCTACACAGAGTGAAGTTTTCTACACAAGATTTTCTTTACTAGTCTTAGCTAAAATAGTCTATTTGAGATGCTGTAAGGTAGAAATGTATTAAAATAACAAGCATCCTGTTTATCAGTTGCAGCTTGCCTAAGTTTTGAAATTTGAAAATGAGGTCATTCACTATTAGAGATGTTCCCATCACCAATCTTATGTCAACTTATGCAGACGCATAAAAACGATGAGGCCAGTAAGTAACCATGGTAACAAATCTTTGCCTGTGGATAGCTAGATTAACAAGGAACATGAAGTTAGTCACATAGTGGGGTTTGTGTAGGGTATAGCAGAATTACATTAAAACTGGCTGTTTTCTGTACTGTGTTGAAATTTGCCCATGTAAGTGTTTTGAGATGTACCCAGCAGTGAAGACAAAGAGGCCCCAGCAGAGATAAGGAAGCAGGATGTTTCAGTTCCAATTCAGATAGGTGATCCAGTTCTTGTGATAATGAACTGCTTATGTAGACATTATGTACTGGGTGGGCGCCGAAAGCTGCCAAGGCCGAAAGCTTATTTGGAGAATAAGTGATGAAGAGGATGATAAGGGACCATCGGATTAAGTAAACGACCACGAGAAGGACCGTGATATCTATAAAACAACAAGAGATGGCAGCAAAGACCATGGAATAATTCTTTCCTGGGCAAGGTGTGTTTATGCTAATGATTTCGGGGAGTGACTACAAATATGTAACACCCTTGTAAATAAAAACCCTTGAAAGAGAGCGGGGCAGGGGAGTGCTTCGGGTAGAGAATTCCCTGTGCCCAGTAAGGAATACTGCTTAATAGTCACTCGGCTGTTGAGTTTCAATTTCTTTGTTTCCAAACCATCAGCTTTTGACCTGGTCTCCCCCACAGGTTACACAATAGGTTGTTAGGATTTGGCAACAAACGCCAAACTTTTCTCTCATACAGATTTACAAATACACAGACCCATTTTACTGTGTTATAACTACACAACAACAACAAAAAAAAAATAAATCAGTAGCTTCGTGTAGCAGCATAGAGACTGATTCAGACCTTCTCTCTTATTTCATTCCTTCTCCCTTTTAATTGCTGGAGGCTGCTTGCATATTAAACTTGCAAATAAAGATGGGGGGAAAACAAACAAACAAACAAAAAACCCAACCCACATAGAAAAATGAGGACGGTCTCCAGGGCTTTCTGGCAAAAAGGATATAGCAGGTAGGCATCTGGCAAAAAGGATATAGCAATGTGCACAGAAAAGAGGAAAACTGGGCATTTCAGATATCCAGAGAATACAGAGATGAAGGGCTTGTTCAGTGCTAAGGGTCTGGAGATGTAAAGGCACAGAAATGGGTAAAGAGAGCAAGCTCAGGAAGGGAAAAAAACCCAGAACTAGAATACAGAATTTAGATGAGAATCCAGTAGTCCCTACTCCACAGTCCTCTGCTTCATGAAGGTATTTTGAAAGCCATTGGCAAAGCATGCTTCCTATTTCTTTCTAATCACTAATTCAGACAGAATATAGCTGTCCCAATACCAACACCATTTTTCTAAGAGTTTAAATGATTGTGATTTGGTCCTGAAGTCTCTGCTAACAAATTGAGGAGAAAACTAACGTAATTCTAGATGAGAAAATTTCTTTTACAATTTCTACTTCCACAAAATCAGAAATCATATTCCTGAAATATTCCATACTAAAAGAATAATACTTTTTCTATGTCAAGCAGTCCATCGTTTCTGCAATTCTAGCTACACCTGGATATGAAAATTACCGTGTGAACCACTATTGTAGTAATTTACAGAATTGCTAAGAACTCGCTCATCATTGCATCTGAGGTCTCAAAGACTGTGGTTTCTTCTTAGATGGCCAAGCAAGATTACAACACAAATACTACAGCAATCACAACTAACTGCATTTATACTCAAAAATAAATAACTTTTAAATAAAAAGTGAGATTAGCACTGGCACCAATGAAGAGGAAAGTTCACCAGAAAAGGAGTTAATAAATTAAGATCTTCAAAGGAAATTGCTGTTAAAATTTTAAGATTATTTTTGTAGATGATGTAATATGCCTCTATCACCATCCCCAATCTGCAGATGAGAAAAACAAGACTGAAGATAACTGACATGCAGACTTCGTGGAGTGAGTCACTCTAGCAGAGTTTCCAGAATCTTGAAGCCCTCTCCTTTGTTCTAATCCTATTTCAGATTCAGAAAAAATCATAAAAGTAATTCATAAAGCTATATATTATTTTCTAAAATTAAGGTGGAAGAAAGATTTTATTAATTTGAGTCAATATTTAACATAAACATTAACATTTGAGTCAATATTAAGCATAATTTTTTAACCATTCCCTACTAAATGTCTTCAGAATATGACCAAAAAAAGCAGGTGGATCTCTGCTTACATTTGATGCTACTTAATTCTATGGATCTGATAAACTAACTAGAACATCAGCTAGAATGGAGGGCTACTTACAGAGATGGAGGTTCCTCACTGCAGTTATCTTTGTAAATCTGTCCTCAGCATTTTAGAACAGAAAGCTATATGCTTGCACACATCGGTGGGTAACAATCAGTGATGTGAATATAGGTAAAGAGGCAGTTTCTGAGGTAAACAGGACCTAAAGCTAATGCTCATTTGAAGATGAGAATCAAGACTATAAACTGAATGTGAAAATCATCTGGAAGTCACTAACTGTCACAGCTGTGAAACCTCAAAAGTTAAAATTCATAAGCCAGTATGTTTCCTTATTGGGAATGGACTAGAGTTTAAGAGTAATCTTTGGGCATCATTCTTGGCAAAAACCACTGCAATATTCTGTTGTGGATTATACACTTTATAGTCCCCACCAAAATAAGGTGGTCTTGGACAGTGAATAGTTGGATACTTGCATATCCAGAAGTGTAAAAGATAAGAATGTGACCAATTGATGGCAGCAGACCTTAATATTTACCATTTCTTACATTTACTTTCTGTAGCAGAATTACCTCAATCTTAAATTTATTATAGTAGCAGACTATTTTTTGCCACTGCTGTACTTCCTAACACCACATGTATGGTATTATTCTCAAAATTATCTCCATGACTGACATGAAATTTAAAAAAAAAACTTAGGGCATTAATTATAACTGAGGCTGTTCAACAACTACCTTCTCGTAACTCATCTCAGAGGGACATTCCACATATAAGCAGTTCATTACTAGTTGCAGGATTTTCCTGTTGTTCTTTCTTCCACCGTGCCCGTCCCAATAAAACACCATTTTTCTTAAGAATGTTGTTTTTGAATAATCAGATGATATTAATCTTCTCGAGACTTCTCAGTGAGCACAATTTTCTATGTTTTGTGGAGGGAAGACAAATTTTCTCATGTACAGGTATATTGCAATGCAGATCAGTCCTATCCTTCCACCTTTAATTTATAATAATTTTCTTTCATGCTTCAGCATTTACAGATTACCCATATATTGTCATAGCATCTGAGGGTAAGTCTAAAGAATAATTACAAACAACTGTAATATTGAAAGTCTGTGAAAATATACTGTAACACCAATCTGGAAGGATGCCAGTGTAAAAGGTCTATAACCTAAGTCACAAATTTAGTTTGATCATTTAGCCTACAAAAATGAACAATTAAGCCCCCTATTTTTTTTTAAACAGGTAACTGTATGAGAACAATTCAGAATCCTAGTGAGTATACAGATATTTTTGCTGGTATATATATAATAAAACGCTTGTTGTACCTGTATTCTGAATGTTAATTAAGATATTATTTTTATATGTACACTTACTACATGGTCTTTGCAAATGTTTAATTTGTAATGATATAACTGTTTTATTCTTATTTTATCTACTAATTGTATTATTTCATACCAATAAACTGCGGAAGTATGTCGAGTTCATCAAAATAGTTGAGAACAGTCGCATCCTCTGTGTTGAACTCTCTGAAGAGATTCAGAGACCGCAAGAAGTGGTCCTGGGCATAAGGAGTTCCAGCAACAACGCTCTCTGGCAGACTTATTATTCTGTTTATAAGGAATTCATCAGATGCAGTCAAAGAAATAACAAATTCTGCGAAGAAGAACATATTATCAGTGCCCATATATTATTGGTTTTCCTCTTTCTTACCTCATCACCTTGTATTGCAATTTTTAATTTCACAAATAAAGGTGTATCTGCTGAAGGTAAGTAAACTTAAAAAAAAAAATATCAAATAGCATGTTAAAGATACTATGCTACCACATACCATCAAATTTAGTCAGTGTTACTTTAGTACTGCTGGTAGACAAAACACCAGAAATCTTTCAAGGATCCATAAAAAAAACAAACCAAAACAAAACCCAAAACCAAACCTGTTTCCTCTCTTCCAGAAGTCTCATACTTGTATTTTCATTAGGTTGAATCTTGCAGTATTTTATTAACTCAACAATCAATTTGTATTTATTAACTATGACTTCATATAATTTATCACAATATGCTCTGATATTTCTATTAATAACATCACTCAATACTACTGAAACCTATTAAATTAACAAAGACAGGAAGTAATTTTTCTGACATCAAAGGGAAATTTGCAGAATGAAGTAGAGACTCAACCCCCTAAAGGCTCCCCTCCACCAGAAAAAAAAAAAAAAAAAAAAAAAAATCAAAACTAAATCCAAAGGGAAAAAAAAAAAAACCAAACACCAAAACAAACCCAACAAAAGCTCCTCAAACTAACGAAAGTCCTTTCTGAATCATTTTGTTTTCTAAAACAGATTTTCTCCAAGGTTGAGAACATATCTTCTTAAAACAGATCCCATGCTTGGAGTCCTTGTTATGGGAGAGAAAGTGATACTTCTCCAGCCTGTAATAATCATTAATTCACATTTCCTCTTTTGAAATGAGTGCTGAAAGTGGTTTTGTTTACCAATAACAGAAATTTACTTCAGAAATCAGCAATTCAGAAGTGGTTGTAACCCTTCTAAAAGTCTGCTTTTTAAATCAAACCTTTGTCCCCTTCACATAAGCGCAAGCCCTAAAGAATTTTTCAGAACATTCTGAATTTTCTTCAGTTCTACTGAAGTCAATACACCATCATTTACTGAAAAATGAAGCATTTGAGATATTCAACTGTTATACTATCTAACTGGACACAACTTGCAATGCAAGATATGCCAAATGTATTATTTGAATGTAATCAAAACTTCCAGAGAAATCAAGAATAGCGAAAATACCAGGATGAAGCCATTTCTGCATAGATTAAAACCCACTCTTTTAAATCCCAACTTAACTGATGCATTAAAATTTATTTGGTAACATCTTTCATGATATCACACTGCAGATAAACATGGGGTTTCAATAGGACAAGTTTAGGAGCTCATGTTTATTCCATTAGTCACTGCTGTAATCACATCAATGGCAGCCACTGCTGTTGTTATCAGTCAACAGTTGATGGCATTTTCACAAAAAGAAAAAAAAAATAAAACACCCACAAACTGAACAAAAACCTTCCTTTTGATTACCTGTTCACTTTCAAATAAGAGGGTAGCAGCATTACACAAAATTATGTATTTATTTTTTCTGTTAAATTAAGTATGAAGAGATGGAGTGATATTTTAGACTTCTCGTTGGTGGCAGCAGTACTTGAAAACTCCTCTGTTTTTATATAAAGAAATCTACCAGACTTACCAGGTGTGATTATTTTATCATATTCAGGTATTTTGCCTTTAATTTCTTCTTCATTTTCCACTACAAGAAAATGTAAGAAATTGACATCTTCATTTGAAACAACAATATTATTATATTTGCTAAAAATATGTACAAAGACAGGTTTGTTTATATTTGAATATAAGAATACAAGAATTGTTGGAAATTAATCTAAACTGGACACCAGTTTAGAGAATTCAGTAATTCACTCTGCCAGCCACCACAGACTTCTACCCTGGGACTCTAATAGTTCTTTGCCTATACAGAGGAAGTATGCACATGCAAACACAATTTTAACATGTGTCCCTATTGCTGTCCTCACCCTGGCCTCTCCTCCTGCCAAGTACATTACTCTGCCAGAAAAAGAGACAGGACTCAGAACAGTGAGCATAAAAGTTTTACAGTAGTATGGTTAAAATGGTTTTTGGCCATTAAATATCTGCTCTTCTAAATAGTCAGTAAAACTGTCTGAAGAGCATCAGTTGAGTATGATAATTAACAGCCCAACATATTAAGCTGAACAGGACTCTTTTGCTGTCCTCCACATCTCAGGATGTAATTTACATATGGAGACGATTCCTCATCTTCATGTGTGGACAGTGCTTGCTCACAATTTGAAATATATGTCACAGGGCTCCTCTGAACTCATCATATCTACTGCAGCTGATCTAATGTAGTCACTCTAATCTGGCTCACAAAACATTGGTATTGGTGCACTGGCTGGATCCCCTCATCAAGCAGCCACTAAATATGATGAAATTCTGCCCTAGATCTTGCTTGAGTGGAGTAGATGAACACAGAACAAGAAAGTATCCTCCGTATTTGTGCATTTACTTAGTACTTTATCAGCAAAGATAGTCTGAAAACTAAATAAATTGAATAACTTGCATAAATTTAACAGAGTGCTTTAGAATCTTTCTTACATTTTAAGCATGCTGTGAAAACAACTTTTTTTTGTGTCTTGTACTGCAGTCATTACAGTGCTGATGCCCTTCAACTACTATGGCACTTAGAACAATGATAATGAAAATATTAGCAGCAATAAAAACAAAAGCAGCACTACTTACAATTAAAAAGATCTTTTGCCTGGTTATAGGTCTCTGGGAATCCATCTAAAACATATCCCTGATTCCTACAAGGCATAGAATTGAGCTTGTCCTTTAGGAATTTAACAACATACTGATCATCTAGATGACCTGACACAAAAAAGGTTAATAGGTACCTAGATTATGAAAGAGATATCTGAAATTATTTTACTAATATTTTAATTCATTTACCAGAGAAGCTTCTATAGTGACCCCAAAAAATTATGTATTTGAGTTACTATTTGTGTATTACATGTTGTCAGTGATCTCTGGAATACAAAAGTGTAGCTATAAAATAAAATTACATTTGTGTTTATAAGGATATAAATAGTAGAACTTTACAGATACTTACCATTATTTTTTTTTTGATAATGCAATCAAATTTTAATAGAAGCAGCAAAGAAATATTTATAGAAAACATGACAAAACAAAAATTTTCTATTTGCAATTTACTCTAAGACTTAAAGATAGTCTTGCAAAATAAATGTGAGAGAGGTCTTAAAAGTTTAATTTTCGGATTAATAGATTGGGATATGAAATCATTTATTAACTTGACCTATGTTGTTGAGCAAATATGTGGGAGTAAAAAGTTTGTTTTGACCTCATTTTTTTGTCCTTTTGCAACCATTAACTCTAACTTCCTACTTTATTTTGCTTCGGTTTTTAAGTCTTAAATATGTATAAGCCATTGTAATCATAAAAGTACGTTACTATTTTAAAAAGCATTATTATTTTAAAGCTCAAAGCAAGGCATGCAGAAGAGATGGTGCCGAAGGTCTCAGTACTGAAGCTTTTGGGTATGTTACAAGTTCATTCCATCGCAGATACACAAGATCCAAACTAGGTAAGTCTTCAGAGGCAGAAAGCATCTTCCAGGTGGATCACTTTGTAATGCACAGAAAATGTTAAGCCCTAAATCAAAAACTACATGTCTTTATTCATATATAATTAGTATTTTTCAGTAATAGCAATTTTTATGGACCTTCCTTTTTCCATCTGCAGACTTCAAAATTCTTAACAGGCTTCAGTAAATACTCTTTACTTTTCAGAAATAAAGCATAAGGTATTTTTAAAAATCCACAGTCTCACATGACAATGCACTAATTTGTGTTCTTACTAGAATAATTTTCTTCTTTAAAACTTTGATAAATATACGCTTCACTAACTTTTTATTTTATATTATATAAATGATGCTCCCTGTTCTGAGAAAACATGAAGTTTTAAAAAAAATCTGCACAAGAATCTAATGCTTCCGACTATACATTTGTTACTTATTTACATTGAAAAAAGAAACATAGAAAATGTATAAAGATGGAACGCCTACTGTTAAAAAAGGAACACAAGATTCTAAGAAGATATCACTTTTGATATAGAAGTTATATAGTGTACAATGTAAAATGTTGCATTTTATTTTTAAATCATGTACATACAAAATGACAGGGCATGATTCTTGCTTTTAATAGGATGTAGAAATTATAAAGCACCAGCTTATTTCCTGATTGCCCATTTGCATAGTGTTGCACTAGTTACCTAAATCTCATCGTAGTACTTTGTATTTCCTACCTGCATTCTGCTCCATGCTTTCTTTTACTCTAGCTAATAATCCATGTGCTTCTTCTGCATTTTCACCCTCTTCTTCATCATCTTCTCCCTCTTCTCCTACACTGTCAGTGTCCAGTTCTTTAGGAGCCACAATTTTCTCCTGAAGATAAGATCAGAAATATGAATAGATTCAGAAGATCCGTAGTCAAATTTCTTCTATACACAGATGTAATAAAAGGAAAAAAAAAAAAAAAATTAATTTCATGTATGCTTCTGGACAGCGAGATTCTGAGCAACTTTCAGAGTTCAGTGCAGCCCCTAGAGGTGATCAGGATGTCAAAAGAGGTTTGTGCTCTAAAATAATGGAATTATAACTATTTTTTATATGATGCCAACGTAATGGTTTGAAAAGCAAATCAGTGAGAGACTCCCAAGTCAGAAATACAATTTAATAGGAAAAAATAAAATAAATGGAAAAGTACAAAGAAAAACCACAGAGTCAGAATACACCCTGACCCTGTTGGTTAGGATGGCGGTAGCACACCAGATTAAGCAGTGATCTCATAGAAAAAGATCTGGTAGCTCTTACCCACTGGATTTCCAGAGGACAAGGGCCTCCTCTGCTGTCCTGAACCCTAGATTATATCCAGGTGGGAGCACTTGGCTCCTCCCCGTGGGCAGAGTATCACACAATGGGTTGATGTCACTCTATGAGTCATGCAGTGGGTCCTTGGTTGCCCATTAAATAGAAATAACTCCTGGGGGGAGTTCTGTATGAGTCATGTGTCAAGGCATGGATGGGCCCATTAACAGGGAGGACTCCTCCTGCTGGGTGGGAAGGTGTTAACATCTCCCCGACCTCTTTCCTTATCTGATGTAGCCTGGGGTGTGAGGTCTGTCCTGGGCAGCTGCTACCCATGATTTTGTTAACAGCCCATAAGCAATGACATAGAGGGTATGGAATACATAGATTTTGGTTATACCCACATAATGATAAACTGCTCCCAGCCCCTGTAACCATGACAGCCAAACATTTTAAAATCACATATATTAAAATAATAGCAGTATTAGAAAACAGCAACATACCAGATTTACTATTTTTTCAGAAATCATATCATTTATCTTAATGTGATGTAGCTTGTAGTGTTTGCAGAGCTCTTCAGCAATGGTGGACTTGCCAACCCCAGGAGGACCATGAATGTAAACTTTGAGAGGCTAGGAAAAAAAAAAAGAAATAACATCATTCAAATAATATGAATGCTCTTATGTAAAAGGAACAATCTTTATAGCTAATAGGAAATAATTATTATAATTAAGCCAGAAAAAAAAATTGTATATTTTAATATTAATTTATTTCTCACTGAATATCTCCTGCATCACAGGCTAAGAGTAATAGTTAATTTCAATGCACTTCACTATTGCAGAAAAAGTACTCACAGACCAACTTACAGTGTCACTATTACTATTTGAATGATCAAAAGAGACAAAACACAACCCCATCAGTACAATGTAGTGAATTTTGGAATGAGGTGACAGATATGCAACAGCTCTGTTTCCCAACTGAGGCAGAGTTGCTGTCATCACAATAGTTATTTTTACCTCAAAAATTTTATATCCTTCACAACCTTAAGATATTATCGATTTCTTATATTACCCACCTAGCCTGTGGATGAGTAAGTGTAAATATGATTCCAGCATATACTTACTAAAGATATTATGCAACAAACTCAAAATCATGCAGATTAACTGCCTATCCTAATTCAATAAACCTGTCAGTGGAAACTCAGCAAATTTAATAGGGCAGTGACAGGGACAGAGATGTAGGTAGCCCTCCTTCTCCTTGCCACTTGGTTATGTCTGTATTTGGTACTGAATTTTTTGAATGACATGCATACATACTCAGATGCAGCAGTTTAACCCAAACACAGACCTGACAATGCTTTCAGAGGTACACATGGACTTTTAACAAACCACCTTGAACAACAGTAGCTGTATTTTGTTTTACAGCTCCTGAACCATGTTCAAAGTTTGAAGTTTTAGGCATGCTAAATCAATACTTGAATGCAAGCATTTTTCTGCATCTTTCAATAACCTTCCCTATACATTTGAATGCAGAAGTTCTAAATGTTAAGCTAACACAGGCAACAGCAAAATTGCTCAGTACTTTACACAACAGAGCTGGGTAAATGTAGATACATTGCAGTTAAATAACCTGGCTCACTACATATAACAAAGGATACAAATTACTCATCTAACTACTGAATATTACAAAAAAAACTTAAATAAAAGATACACTTATTGTGTTCTTGAAGTAAAATATACCGGGAATGCCATATATTTAATACAGAAACTTGTCTCAGAACAGCAGCTTCTGCATCATAAAAGACATAAAAGAGAAAACCCCTTAATGGTTACCGTTTTAATTAATATTCTTGCTTTTTTAACTTTTTCAATTTAATTTTTAGGCTCTACGTTCACTTATTTTCCATCTGTATCAGTCTTCCATGTATTTTTTTATGTAAAGAAATGAAACCTTATGTTTATATAACCATTTCCATTGGGGGAAAAAAGAAAGGTACACTATAAAATAGTGTACACCAGACCATTACCTGTAATCCTCGACTTTGCTTGTATTCCTTGACGATTTTTTCAATGTTTGCCACCAGTCCTGCCTCAGCAGCCCACTTAATGTTGAAAGTGTCTTTCAGAAACATGGATTCCATTCGCAGGTTCACAAGCAACATGTCCAAATGCATTTGCTGAGGGAACAAAGCTACATTTATTTACAGCCTTAAGCCATGCATGTTAAAAGAATATTGTTAGCTTAAACCAGAGACAAGAATAGAGGGTTGAGAATGAAAAGAATTTAAAGCACAGGGAAAGAAGGTTTGTACACAATGCAAAACAAAATTTTTAAGCTTTTTAAAAATATAAACATTTTCAATATGTATTTGTATTTGAGTATTCTCCTGAACTATTAGAACATGAAACATAAAATAATTATTCTGTACAACACAAAGGTTTCATATAATTGCAGGGACCTCTTTCATAAATTTATCAAGTACCATCTTAAAACTACCAGTGTTGTAATTTGTTTATTCCTCCTATGAACAGTTTATTCCAAATAAATAGATAAATATAACATAATTTATGTATTCTGTGTTCATCAGTCTTAGTAGCCTATCATTATTTTTTTTTTCTTTTTATCATTTTGTGTAGGTTTTTTTAGAGTGCTCCAGTATGTCAGTGCAGCAGTGACATCAGTGCTCTATTGCTTTTCTAAATCAGGCTGTAACTTGTCAAAATAGTTTGTTCTGTGATGATCAAAAATTAGTTTGTTTGTTTTCTAAATTTAAACCCACTGTATATATTTGAGGCATGGTTGTGGGTTACATTTTTCTCGTTAAATAAAAAAAAAGTCACAATTTCATATGGATTTTATATATATATAAAATACTTTTAAGTTTACATCCTTTCCTTAAGTAATAAAGGGGAAAAAAGGTACTGACTGTTAACTCTTTGCTCAGGAATGCATTTTCTTTTGGAATCTTCTCAATTTTTCCTGGTCCAACATTTTTACTGATACACTATCAAAAAAAACCAAAACAAACACTTGTCAAATCAGATTCTTAGCAAAAAAACTATACAGGATTTTTGTGGATAAATTATGTGCTTTAAATTTTATGCTACACTATACCTGAAAAATTACTATACTGATTTGAAGTAGACAGTTCAAAGAACAGTATACTAACTTTAATGTTAGTATTAAACACCTTTGTTTTTTCTCTTCCTCTGTAGTATTTGCAATAAGAAAAAAACAAAGACAAAAAACAAAACAAAACAAAACAAAACAAAAAAAACAAAAAAAAAAACCAAAACAAAAAAAAAACCAAAAAACAAACAAACAAAAACAAACAAACAAACAAAACAAAACAAACAAAAAAAACCAAAAAAAAACCAAAACCAGTGACAGGTGTTTCAAAGCTCCTAAGTCTATATACAACTCCCTACTGCTTAAAAACTATTGGGAATTCTATTTCTCAGCACTTCCACTTCAGTTTTTTGAGGTATTTAATTCTGTTAACAGTCAAGAGGGTTTTCAGATCAATCCCACCAATAACATTACATATTACCATTTTCATTTCATCATTAGACAGAAGTTGTTAGTTACTCCTACAGACTTAAAATAGATTTAAAACTCCACTAGATTCCATCAAATCATACAAATTGATACTGTCAGATCCAATCCACATATATCCCAGCATTCTGTTGCAAATAATGTCAGTCAGTGGAAACCTTAATGAAAGTAAGAATGGAAAAAGCATATATGATACTCCTTACTTGTATCATCTTCAGCTATTTTCAGCTCAGAGACTCCCTAAACTAGAAACAGCTACTCTATATTTAAGTAGCTCTCAAGGTATTTCTCTCCCATGTACCTTTTTAGTGTTCCCCTGGGCTGGTGGAGCTCCCTACCAAGACAGGTCTCCACAGCATGACCTGCAACTCTCTCTCCACCAGCACACTTCTCTCTACTGTCCGCTTAGTCCTGTTCTCTGTTTCCTATTTCTAAAGAATGACATATCCATTAAAGGACCCAACCACTTCTCTTAAGGTGCTGAGATGCTTCTCAACAGCTTTTGGTGAAGTACTTCTTTGAAAGCCTCTGGGAAATTCAAGCAAGTTTGTTCATCCTTACCCACGTTTACTGGTCACATTAAACAATATCAGGAGGTTTCCAAAGTATTTGAAAGTATGTTTTTTTGGAAAGTGTTTCTTGGGAAAGGATTTTACAAAAGCCACATTGACTCTCCCAAAATAGATCATATGTATTCTGGGCGTCCTTTAACCCATTTAATTTATTATCATGTCTAATAATGGTTATTAAGCCTGGTTATTAGCCAACAGTATTACGCATATTGGCATGTAATTCCCAAAACATTGCAGGAAACCTCTCTTTTCACATCCACATCACATTTATTATCCTCCAGCCTTCAGGACTGTGCTAAACAGCAGATTGTACACACAAATTTACAATGTAGAGTTATTTTATCCTTGACCTAGTTCAGACCTCTTTCAGGCCTCAGAACAATCATAAGAGTCTGGAAGTTTCTTGCTGTTCATTTTGTCAGTTCATTCTATCATATTTTCTACAGTTACTTTAGTTTTATACAGATATTTTAACAACTTTTCTACAAATTGATCCTGAAGCATTAAGATGCTTCCAAATTCTTACCCAAGCTGACTAAGGCAAAGCATTTCTGCTGTGGTCTTGGCTTCTCTAAGCTCTCCTTTTATACCACAATCACCAATTTCCCTTACAGATTTTCTGGCAGGCTTTTTGTTCTTTAAGTGTTTGAAAAGAAGGGTATTTATTTTTAAGTCTTTTATGGTAGTTGATCTACAAGTGTTTTTTTCACTTATGCCAGATTTCATGATGTTTTCCTCATCTGGACACAACCATAAGTTTTTGAAGTTTGACATCTTGTTTTCTTCAACCTAGAGTTTAACCATGCTAATTTTAATTTTCTCTTTCCCAAACCATTCTTAATAAGTAGCACACAATGACCTAATATGGCTGATAATGTAAATTCCAATAGCCTCTACTCTCCTGCTCTAAGATGTTCATATATTTAATGTCTTTTGTGTTCATTTATATGTAATACTCTTTCCTATGGTTAACCATAGCTGCAAAAGTTATGTTTGCCCTTGCTTCTTCCATAGGAAAGGTGACTAATTGCCTCATGGTCACCTGCACAGAATGGCTCTTCAACTATGAACTTTTCAGTGAGACTCTGTGTATTTTACCTGAACCAAATCAAAGGCTGCATCTTCTTGTGAGCTCTCTAACATATTGTTCCATGAAACACTGTTTGACACAACCAAAAATACTGGGCTGTTATGTATGGTCCTTACATAACGTTTGCTCAATCCACACGAGCAAGTCTCCTACTACATTGTATTAGTTGACTCTCACTATCAGTGCATAGTTCAACAGTGTCATCAAGACTATATCTAGACTAAATTTCAAAAGCCTTGTAAAACCAAATTCTCCTACAACAAAATGAAGCTAAAACCATCCTGAAGACTGTGTGTCTAACTACAGTACCGTGAATCTCATCGTAATTCACAAGAACTTTCTCACATAAAATTTCTACTTACATTAACAAACGATAGTACTGCAAAATCAGGTTCAAGTATATTATTTTGTCCAAAGGACAGAAGTCTTGGAACATCTCCAAATAATTTTCTGCCATTTGCTACATAAGATAATTCAGAAAGACCTAGGAACAAGAATCCAATGTCATACCTTTATTAATTCTTGAAGAGTGTGCATAGATGCATCTACTGCAAGTATATAGTAGGACTTTGGCCTATGGTCTGCTATATTTTGTAACACTCTGAAACATAGCAAGCACAGTCAGGTAGTTAGAGAAGCATTCTGGGCTTTCATTGTTAAATGTATTTCAGAAACAGCACAAAGAGTTTGTAAACCTTGCAGAACTCAGATCATGACATTTTCCTATATATTTTCCTTATCAAAGAAGCACAGCTAGACATTTGATTTGCAAAGAAGTTCAATGGATAAAAAGCAACATCCATAGAAGTTATTAACTTAGCCTGCTGTAAAGTCCACAACCCATTTCCAGTTCTGTGTCAGTTAACTGGTATCACACTCTAAATCAAGCACTGTTGGTCATCTCTTAAACGTATAGCACCAGTGCATCAACCAGGTAAGGTTTTCAGAATGCAAATCTAAAGACTAAAGAGATGGAAGTCTATGTCTGACTCAAGAAGGGCCAAAGAGTGTTCTTAAGCCCACTTTCCTCAGTTTTAAAGCCTCAGTAGTCTCTAGTATATTTGGATTTCTTACCTAGCTAGGTATCAGGTTTTTCCCAGGGGAAATTTTTATTACTTACGCTGCTAAGTCAAGAACGTGAATGGTTGGAATAAAATTGTTTCCATCTCCAAAAACAGGTATTGCAGGAGCCTCACTAAGCCAACCTATCTGAAAATACAAAGGGAGAATAAAGCGATGAGAAAAATGTTACTTTTAACTACAGCTAAAAAAGGAGCATATGTTTACTAGGCAAATCTACATATTCAGAATCTTAAATTAATTTTCTTGAATGATTAATGGAACTGCAGTGAAGAAAATGGTTCTCAAGAAACACTTCCTGGCAGCCTGCAAAAACAAGAACTTTTTTTTTTTTAAAAGAATATACTTTGATCTTGACATGTTATTTGGTATCCCCAATAAAAGAAATGCTTGGACAAAAGAAGACAAACATATTTCCTGATTTCACTGATATAAGATACTGTTAAAAAACTAAAAAATGCATAGATCCAAAAAAAAAAAAAAGGTAAAAAAACCTTCCATTGTAGCTAAAACATTTCAAAGGGAAAAAATAATATGTTTTGGTTAGAAAAGCATTAAGCTTATGATAACAAAGCTAATAAAAATGCATTCACTGTGGTTCAGCCCCTAGAAATTAACTGAACTTTCAAAAATAGTTGGATGTCTACCTTAAAAAAGTAGTGCAAGATGCCTTCTCCAGCTCCATATTGATGTCCTGAGGCAACAATGTAAGTTGAAAATTTACGTTTATTCTGTGAAGTGAAATCAACAAGAATGTTTTTATAAAAATATGGTACTGCCAATGTGTAGCTAGATCAATTGTTGCATCCTGTAGTTTTCTATATCATATTGCTAATATTTCCTTAAAAAAAAAGCATTGCTCAGTCCGAATTTACCTGTCGACATTTAAACTGTAATTCTACAAAAATTAAGAGTTAAAAAAATTTACAGTTATATAAATCAATGAAGTGAATGGGATCACTCATGTTTCTACTTTCTATTTCCAAGAAAAGTAACTATGAAATTCATTGAAGTTGTCTGTGTTTTTTTTTTAATTGCATTATGTTTGAGTTTGACTGCCTAAGGAAGTAGGACATGCTGGATTAATGATTTTATAATTGTTGACTTTCATTATACAATCAAAAAAAAACTTTTGTGAACTGTCTTCCTAATCATACACTATGATCATCTCACATATTTTTTGCTGACCATTATTGCATAACATCATAAATTTGCCCGTCCTGGATGCCTTTTTATGTGTAATATTACTTCTTGGATCAGTGTTGAGGATAGTTATAGAGATGAAAAAGATTTTTAAAACATCTGACTGAGAAAGATTTCCAAGAAAATCTTTTAAGTTAGCACCAGTCACTTTGAAACTTTTAGGGTGAAATAAAATTATCAAATAATTCTTATGGTGTAAAGATCCTAGACATTATATCTCTATGTAACACTATGTAAAAGAAGCAACATTTACGAACAGAAGAAATAGATGTCCAGATTATTGATCTACTTTGTTTTTTGTGAATAAATGCATCTTTTGCTGTCATATTTATAGTACTTCACAAACATAAAAGAAAGAACAGGTAGCCAACATGTGACTGTACAAGCAAAGCATCATATAAAGGGATGAAAAGTTATATCATCAGTGTGTTGTACCTGTGTATGTGCTTTTATTTTTCTACCTACAAAATAAAACTTTGTAATAAAAACTATCTCAACTTAGTTGAAAGCAACAGCTTGTAAGTAATCATGAGCACATTCAAACTAGAAGACATTACAGAGAGCACAAAAACTCCCACACTTGATTTGCTTGTTTAGTATCATGATAGAAACTGTACCCTAAGAGCAGCAGCTCCCAGGATTGCTCTGGACAGTCTGCAGACATGCCCCAGGAGAAGGCATGCTGTAATTTCCGTCTCCCAGCAGGAAAAACCTGCCTCTTGTGAAAACACAGGAGGTGCTATTTCTCATCTCCCTTAAGAAGAATGTGACACACAAGATTTTCTTCCACTGACCTTGCAGTAGCTTCTGCAGTAGCCACTTGTGGAGACAAACCATAGTTTGACACTGAGTGCTATACTTCACTGAAATACAAACCTCTGAAACAAGTTCAAGTCCTATAGAAATATCTATTCAGTGTCACAAGTCACACATATGAGAAGGTACTAGCTGAGATGAGTTGGATATACTCAATTTAAAAAATAAGATAATTATTAGGCAAGCTCCAGTTACACACAGCACGTTTAGTCACGGGAGAGAACCTTAAAGTTCCCATGTAATATTCACGAAAGCCACTAGATGTCAGATTCTAGCTAGCATAATCAGCTCTAGGTTTTGCGTGCTTTATGTTTTCGTGTTTGTTTTTTTCTAAGAAAATGCTTAAAGAGGGAAACGGGTCTAAATCAATGGATTCAAGACTGTAATGCCACCGAGAACAGAGCTGGCAGATGAAGAACTCCTCTGTCTCTGGTAGGCAGATGTTTCTCCAAGGACTCTGAATTTGGTAGGACCCCAGAGCCCCTGACTTCTCTCTGAGGAGAGCTACACAGCCCAAATGCCCTGCCACAAAACTAAAGGTAAAAGTTGCTAGTGGTAAAAAGCAAAGGCTTCCAGCTCACTACTCTTGCTGAATTTTAAGCAAAATATATAGTGTGAGATATAATAATTCAGAGGGATGAAATCTTCCTTTAAGCTACAAGAGCCATTAAATTGCCCTCTGAACAGCTATGAGGGATAAGAAACCCTTCTATTCTTAGGTGCAAGATCTTCTCTACGTCTGACACGGCTGCTGAATCCTAGTATCTCCTGATGAGCTCTTTGCAGGCGAGAGGTTACAGTGTCATTTCTTTCCCAGGTGGCACATTCCTCAGATGCCACTGAATCTAGAAATGAGTAAGAACTGTAATCCAGAAGTCTCCAGGCATCACAGGAAGCTGATGTTGACCTACTGGGAAAAAGAAATGCTTTGGAGCCTTCCTGTTCTGAAGTGCTGACAGAAACTAAAAGAGAGGCAATGACACCCATTGAAGCTTTCCCTGGAGTTATGGAGGAAAAAAAAAAAAGCCTACTAGGCATATGTATTGAAAATATTCAAGTTACTTTATTGTGTACTGCTGCAAATTGTTCCAGTGTCTTCTCAACAGACATTCAGTCTGGCAAACATTTAGAAGCTAATTATTTTAGTACCTTTGTTATATAGTGACTCAGTGCTTTGGAATAGTCAGAAAAATTGAGTCAGTAGTTCATCCCGGTGTTACTAGTGGCAGAAGATACTGCGAAGTTTGGTGGACACTGTTCACGATCTTCATGTTTCTAACATCACAAGTATTAAAGTTATTCCACAGTTTTATAAATCCATATTAGCAGAGTAGAAGAAAGAACAATATTGATCTTTCAAGCAGGAAAACAAATTTTCCTGGCTTTCTGCACTATTAAACCCATGTTAGAATAGAACAGGATATAATGCGTAGCACTATTTTCTCAGCAGAACATAAGATGACAAGTGTATAATCAAATCAGGGTAAAGTTTTGCCCCTCTATAATTAGTCTGACAAATTTCTGCAATGGACAATAAATTACATTTCTTACAGGAGACTGCTAATGCACAAAGAGGACGATCAAATGACACCTTCATCATACACTGCATTTCATAGCCATCACAGTCTTTCCCAGTTCTTTTTCCTAATCGCCACAATACTCCATCGCTAATGACAACAGGGTCATTTTTTCAGAGCTGCGAAGCACGTGAGTCACTGCTGATAGTTAATAACAGCTCTTAAACAGAAAGAGAGGCATGCTCTGTTCTCTAGTAAGAATGTGGTTGGTGTATACTACAGATATACTGCAAATCTTTAAGGATACTTATCACAG